GGTCCTGCGACTCACAAGCAGACTCTCGGTCATACATTTCGAGGACGATTTCACTCCGTCCATTATCTCCAAGCACAATGCATCATTTTCCTTATAACACTCTAGGAGAGAATTTCACAAATGTACTGATGTCTGCCTTCTAATTACCGATAGGATTTTAAGCCTTTTCGTAATATTAGGCGTATTTACAATACCGGAGCGACACATCCAATTGCCTCGTGTGAGGTGCCAAGATCCAACGATGTTATTTATAATAGCAAGATACTTGAGGATACATGTAGTAATTGCAATTCTTTGGAAGTGGCTGAGCTTAGTCAGTCGTCGAGTGTGATTGCATTTACCCGTCATGAGCTTAACAGTCTCTGTACTATTCTGTAAAATACAGCGTACTCTGGTGATAAGATATGCGTTAATGAATTTCATTCATGTATGGAGCAGCAAAATAATGAGGATTTTTATCACTTCAGATTCTACTGTGATTCATACTACGTCTCGACATTCAGATAGTAGTGTGTGTGTGTGTGTGTGTGTGTGTGTGTGTGTGTGTGTGTGTGTGTGTGTGTGTGTTACTTAAAAAGAAAGAAAGAAAAGAATGCAGAAACTCCAAATCTTAAATATTTTAGGGCCGCACCAGCTTCAGAGGGAGTCAGCTGAAATATGGATGTTTTTGCGACTCAAAACATGATACACTTCCACACATATATATCCACTATATTTGGCTCATATGCACAGCATACACCTACACTAATCGTCAATGTTTACATTTCAAAAAAAAAAAAAAATAAGGATTTTTTAAAAAGTATTTCACCGATAAGTGTTGCTTCCAAGCTCTGATTAAATGACATACTTTCGACCCCGAGATAAGATAGAGTCCAGTGTGTATGTTTCATCTAAAAAATTGATGTCTCTTTAAGTAAGATAGCTATCTGTCTGACTACCATCGGTCCTGCGACTCACAAGCAAACTCTCGCTCATACATTTCGAGGACGATTTCACTCCGTCCATTATCTCCAAGCACAATGCATCATTTTCCTTATAACACTCTAGGAGAGAATTTCACAAATGTAGTGTGTGTGTGTGTGTGTGTGTGTGTGTGTGTGCGTGTATACACATTGATTTATTTATGTATTTATATATGTTTAACGAATAATATTAGCTTCAACAAATTTTTGTCCACGTTATTCCGACACGAATCACAACCTATTGGCTCAGACGCGAAAACGTACACCATTTAGCAAACAAAATTATAATGTCTTAATGGAAGATCTATTTATACCTACAATCCGATAACAGTTTCTGAAGCTGATCTGCCCTTTAGGAGCAAATAATCATTAAGCCAATTTTGACTATGTCTTATTCTTAAACTTCATGGATATTTACTTAAAAGGAAAGAAAACATAAAGAAAACGTGAGCAGAATAATATTGAGCAGCAGTATTAAACCTCTGCAGAACTGATTGATAAATGTCATATCAAATCAAGCGATCGATAAAATGAAGTTTTGTGAAGCTGTGAGTTTTGAAGGCCACTTAGATTTTGCATATGACGTTTATAATTTCATAGAATCTTTGAATTATCGTACAAAAGTTTCAGAAACGTCAATTCTATCTCTGATATTTTTTTCTCCTGATTTCCCTCTTAAGACACGAGAAGAAAACATATTCAACGTAAAAATAAATAATTAAAATAAATGAATAAACAAGAGCGAGTTAAGAATATAAAGAAAAGAAAGAAAGAAAAGAATGCAGAAACTCCAAATCTTAAATATTTTAGGGCCGCACCAGCACTGGCAGATTCAGAGGGAGTCAGCTGAAATATGGATGTTTTTGCGACTCAAAACATGATACACTTCCACACATATATATCCACTATATTTGGCTCATATGCACAGCATACACCTACACTAATCGTCAATGTTTACATTTCAAAAAAAAAAAAAAAAAAAAAAAATCCAAAGAGAGGTCAGTAGTGTTAATAGAACGCTTTTGGTAAAAAAAAAAAAAAATCATTGTAAAATAGAATGAAATTATTTAGTTACTTGCATATACTTTTCTTCATAATTTGAACTCCAAACTTCAGGCCTCTTTGTTTAGGACCCCTTGGCCATGGCCCGGTCTGTATATAGAATTCCGACTCTGTGATAAATGATATCAGTCAAATGTCACGCTACAATTACTTTCTGCCGAGTTATTAATGAGTGACATTAGTAGCCGAATAATCCAGTATCGTTGATATATATGCTTAAAACTCCATAGTAAACTTTCAAATATTTTATCTATTATTTACCTAAATACAAAAAAAGAGACAAAACTTTTTGTTCTTATATCCTGTGTTCTACACGCACATGAAAATGATTATCAATTCTATTTTAAAGATACTGCTGATTTTTTTTTTCTAAGACTGAAGTTATCACAATGGTCTTGTCTGTCTCAGAGCAATTGTGTATCGCATCCTGGATCTGTGATATGCCAGCTTCTTTTTTATCATTATTTTTCAGAGGAGCATCCGGGACATTGATTTTTCCACCATTTCCGACTTAGTAATCTCTCTCTTTCTGGTACTTCATACAAACAGGCTGCCAAGAGTTAGGGTATGTTATGTAGTAATTCCTTAAAACGGTGTCATTGAAACCAAACACAAACACACTTACTCATTCAAGTCACTCGCTTAATCGCTCACTGACTCACACACACACACACACACACACACACACACACACACACACACACACACACACACACACACACACACACACACACACATACATTAATAATCGCCATCAATTGATCCGTAAGCTTCGCGCAAATGACGTAATCTTTCATTGATCGAGTCAGTGGGAGAAGACGTTCATGAGTGGCGTTGCTCCTCCCTCCTAGAAGCCGCTCTTGGCATTCATGCACACTGGCATACTCAACTAGCTGCTCCTCAAGCACCTGACTAATGCCAATTTTATTTATTTCGATGTTTTGTGTATTTCTGAAACTACTGGCTTGTGTCGATTTTATTATTTATTATATTTATATTTAGTTTTTTTAACTTTTATTTCTATATTCATTATTTTTTCAGGAAGCGTTCTTGTGAGTATATTAAAAAATATACTAGGAAACGAAATCATATATTTTTCTCTGCACTGAGAATAATATATATGCATAGTTATAAACATTCAACCTAAAAGAATGCGGATTCCTGAAAAAGGGAGTTCTGGCAAAAGGTTGAGAAAAGTAAACAATCCCAACAGTTAGTAAATAGTTTGGGGCTGCATTAAAATTATTTACCAAATATTATTTTCAATCATTCCTTGACGTATCGTAAGTATACTCTTAGCAATCAGTATGTAATCTTACATTTTAGCCATTATAATGGATAAAAAAACTGATAACATGCCTCACTGACTGTATCCCCAATAGAATATGAATGATGAATCTGTTAATGTTGGAAAACTAATAATATTTCAGTTTTCAAGTAAAGGACTGACCATAGCCCTTTTTCTATAAATTATACCTATATCCTTTAGTCCATATTTATAGGATAATTCTATCTATGGGAGTACTTTTAAATTATACAATACAGGAAAAAAACACTTATGAGCATCTCAACAATACACAAATAGCATGTTCATAAGTCTTTATTAAAAATATTACATTCTATGAATAAATATAAAGAATTTATAGCCCGTCATCAAATGACAGAAACATCATGAGCACCTTCTTGAAAACTGATGTCATTTTCTTTAAGAAATGCAATATCCATAATTCATTGTAAATAATAATAATATTAATAGAAATTTACTGCATAGTGTTCCTCCTAAACATGTTCCGATCTGTAACAGTAAAATTCAAAATGAAGTGGGCAAGCCTCAACAGTATAATACAGAAATGCACCCATGGCCAGAGGAGAGCTGTGAAATCAGCAAGGATACTTACCATTTTTTCATTCTACAGTTACCTGGTGATATCAAATAAATGCTACACAAATAAATATAAAATATAAATAGCATCAAATGTAATGATGAAAAAAAGTACTAAGAGAAAAATGAGAAGTGGGACAGAGATACTTCTGCATTAGAATGATTACAATGATAGTGGTGATGAATTAAATAAGCAGTACTTATAATAGTATAGAAGCAGTTCCACTATAAAGGATAGGATAGGGCATACAACATCATGATATAAGCTGTTGCTAAGAAATTAATTCTGATGCCGAATTATTTCAGTACTAATAAATATGCTTTTCTTTTTTTTAAGTATACTCTCTAACAAATATTTCTTCTATGAAAAATACATAAAAGTTCCAAATAAAACATTTAGTGTACACAAGACAAACAGTAACAAGACAAAATACAGGAAAAACAACAACAAAATCAAGAATCTTGAGTGTGCTTTCATTACATTTGCCACTAAGAAGGGCACCTTTCCCTGTGTTGCAAATCATCTCTTTGAACCCTTGTCATACAATGCTCTTCTGCTGTAGTCAAATTCCTCCTGTAAAAAAATCTACTTAACACTGCTTACTCTTCCTGGAGGAGAACCAAGTAAATAACTAACATAAGATGACTATAATGGCAGTGACAAGGTATAACAAGATAAAAAGGACTCGTGCATACTGAAGGGGGATGCTATGCTTTTCCAAGGCACCAAAATATTTAATACAAACACTTAAAAGCTTCTTGCAAAAATACATTCTATCTGCCATCTTCAAGTTGACATGTGGCAATAACCAAGAAAAAAGAAAAGAAAAGAAAAGAAAGAAAGAAAAAATACAATACAATGGTAACAAGTAACAACATTACAACCACAGATATATTCAGTAGACAATACAATACACATCATACCAAATGTTGAATTACAAAAGGGCACAGGAATAAAACACTTAGAAATCATACTCTCAGTCACTGATACACACAGCTGTAAAAAAGTTAATTGTGAGGAAAGGGACTTTAGAGCAATAACACTTGTTAACAATACAGGCTCACTGTCTTATAAACTTTAACAAAATGTGTTTGTTATACAAGTCTACATTCTACCACAATATCCACAATAAAAAAATGGAAACCAAGCTTTTGTCTCTAGTTTTTTATTAGGGGAATATAATTTCTATCTTTATTAATGTTATTATAATCTGTAAGAAAATTTAATAAATGGATTAGAATCTAGTTTATGTTAAAAGAGTATATTATTACAATATTTTTTGAGGAGGATCTAGTAAAATATGTAAAAAAAAAAATCCTTTTTAATTATTGGCTGAAGATAAAATAAATAAATAATAATCATAGTAATAATAATAATAATAAACATCTCTAATGGAGCTATTGAGCAAGACAATGAATGGCTATAAACCTGGTATGAAATCAGCTTATGACATGAAAACAATTTTCATGATTCTCTAGAGGATCAAGACTATCACAGTCTATGAATTTTACATTTACCTATTAGATATCCTATGCAAATGCAGTGCTCCCCTTTCTCAAAACATGGAGAACAGCTGAATATTTGTGTAACCACCACAAACAGTGACAGTGCTTTTACTATTGAACTTGTTTATTGAACTTGTTAACTGTTGACTACTTAACAGCCTCCTATCCTTTTGGATCTTCATTTTTTATGTCCCACCACACAATATGTGTATTCCTGCATTCTTTCATATATTACTGAAGAAGAAGCTAAATATAATCTGCAATTACAAGATATTTTGCTTTGAATTCTGTTGATACAAGTAATAACAATTCATATAAATGTACTTAAATCTGCACACTCAAGAAATCTTTGGAGTTAAGTACCATAATTATCATGTACTCCTTACTGTACTTCACTATTTTCAAATAGCCTTGAGACATCTTTCAAACTTCCCAATTCCTTATTATTCTTTTTTACAGTAGTTGCTTTCATGTCAGTTATTCCACATGAAAGCAAGTATGGGAGTATACACAACGATGTAACTGCCACCTTCCCAGGACAAATACCATTGAATGATAAATATCCTTGATCAAGTTTCAATCAGAGACCTCATTCAAAATCCCATTCTTGGACCCTTAATAATTTCATAACTTTAGACTGAACACTTTCCCAATCACAGGCCATGAACAATTTCCCAACCTTACACTGTAATCAGTTTGCCAGAGCACAAAGGACACGGGTGGAACTTCTGCAAGCCACAGTGCTCAACTTGGCTTGTGGCTTCCATCTCGTTGAGGAGGTCCAGAATTCTCTGCACTGTTGGGCTCTTTTTCTCAGCTGAGAGATTCTGGTCTTTCATACTCTTGCTAGGGCTTGGGGTATTTTCCAAGCCATTATCGGTTGTGCTAGTTTCCTTACAGGTCTCATGCTGTTCCAAACCATTTTGCTTCTCGACTTCTGTGGCCTCTTCTGCTACTTCAACATTTTTGGTCTTTAAGTCACCATTGACATTTTCCTCAGTCTTTTCTGTTGGGCAAGTTAGGAAAATTGATATATCTGTTCTTATTTTTTGAGTTACTAAATAAATAAATAAATAAATAAATAAATAAATAAATAAATAGAGAGAGAGGGAGAAAGAGAGAGAGAGAAAAAAAGCGAGAAAAAAAAGAGAGAAAAAAAAAGAGTGAGAGAAAAAAAAGAGAGAGAAAGAAAGAGAAAGAGAAAGAGAAAGAGAAAGAGAAAGAGAAAGAGAAAGAGAGAGAGAGAGTGTTAGATTGGGGGAGTGGGATTCATTCTTTAAAATTTTACCTAATTGCCCTATAAAAAAAACTGAAAATTCAAACATAATCTTATTACCATGAAACTAACCCCTGATATTAATGATAAAGAGAGAAGAGAAGAGAAGAGGAGAGAAGAGAAGAGAGAGAGAATGCTGATAAAATAGCAGAAAAAAAAATACTATACACAGTAAACTTTCATTGTGTATAGCATGATCAACATCTCTACAACCATAAACTAACATTTAGGCCAAATATTTCCATAATTCAAGCTAATCTTCAAAGGTTAATGATCCTCATAATAACCACTTATAAAATCTGAAAAAAAAAGAAAAAAAAATAATTAATCAAGCTAATCTTCAAAGGTTAATGATCTTCATAATAACCACTTATAAAATCTGAAAAAAAAGAAAAAAAAATCATACCTGTTTTTTTAGCATCAGATTGTGATTGGCTGATCACCTTCTCCATCTTCGCCACATTAGGATGGTTTGGACCCTTCTCTTGTACTAGTGTTGACATTAGCTCCTGCAAAACAAACCAGTTACAATGGTCATGGGCTTGGAATATTGCAAAATATAAATAAATCTGCAGGGTCTATAGGACTGAGGAAAGCCAAATGGAAACAATTTTAATTTTCTCTGTTACCACACTGCATTCACATGCAAAACAAACAATGTTTTTTATGCTGCAAATTATATAACTCTGATTCAGTACTGAACACCATTTGCACTAAATGACGATGAACTTGGATTGAAATCACGTTTTGAACATTTTCCAGGCAAGAACTACTGTTTTTATGAGACAGAGCTTCCTGTTGTTTACCTTTTCGTTTCTGCAACAAATTCTTTTAAAGAAGCAAATGTTCAGTATTTTCTATATCTGTAGAGATATGTACTTATCTTGAAATTTGGTGGTCCCTGTTCATAAAACATCCAAAGTGTGCAGGGGGTTTCTCAGGTTTATTTTTTATTCAAATTCTGCATGAAATTACAGAAATAATTACATAAAAAAGGCCAACTTCACTAAAAAATTAAGTATGGAATACCGTGAAGCACCTCTTTTTATGTAAAATGAGACTAGATCCATCATTATCAAATGATATTGCATACATGTGCATGAATACACATGCACATGCTTGCAAGCATGTGCTTACACACTCGCTAATTCATTCACTCATATATACATTGTCATGTATTAACTCATACATATATTTATTCGTATAAAAACTACATATATACATATATGCACTCTTTCTCTCAAATATATAACAAGTTTGATAGAGAAAGATAGTCTAACATTTTTATGGAATAAATTTTATGTTACTTATAAAATATTTCATATCATTTAGGGATCTACTGTTTTGATATCTTGATTTTTTATTTATTTATTTTTTTTGTATAACATTAGTTTAGTAGTAGCTTACCACTCTATTCCTATTATCCAAGTCAGAATTCTAACCCCATTCCTTTCTTAACCCTATATCTACCACTATGATTACTACTTCTACTACTAATACTAATACTTCCACAACCACTACTATAGCTCACCTGAAGTGTTGACAATTTGATTTTCATCTCCTCTCTTTCGTGCCTGAGACTAGATAGCTCCAATTCTCTCTCTCGTGCCTGTTGCTTCATCACTCCCCTTTGGAATTGGTAGATCGTGATATAGTCACCTGTAACAAAAACACTGTGGTATTTACTTCTGTGATATACTTAAGATGTTCGACGATTGCAATCTGAAAGGAAACTGGTACTAATTTTTACTATATGATGTTTTGTTTTGCCTGTTTGGTCTCTGATTTCCATACTGACAGACCATACTACCTTGGTTCAAAAGACTTTTTTTTTAAATATTATTTAATAAAAAATCAAATAATCTTATAATTCTAAAAGTAAAGGAGGAAGAAGAAGAGGGAGAAGGAGCAAAAACAAAGGAAACATCAATAGTGGAAGAATAGGAAGAAAATGATGACAGAAGTCACAAAGAAAAATCAGTTATATAGCTGAAAACAGATAATAAAGATAAAATAATTCAAGAAGGAAATAATAATACACCAGAAAAGGAAGATAAGAGAAAAAGAGAAGAAGATGAGACTCTGCATGAGTCCAAAAAAACACCGGAAAAGGAAGACAAGAGAAAAGACTATGAGACTCTGCACGAGTCCACCTAATTCAATTCCCATACCTATGGCCTCAGTCTCGATCTGCAGCTGCTGTATGATGTGCTCCAGCTTCTGTTTTTCATCACTCAGCTCAGCCACCTGGTCCATGCTGCGGCCAAATCTTGTCTCCAGGGCTTCATGTGCGTTTTTCAAGGTCTGGAATTCTACTGGGTCAACTGTGGTCTCTGTAGATAAAAAAAAGAAATAATAATAATAATAATAACAATAATAACTGATAGGAAATAAGAGTAACCATATGTTAGCTATGACACGAACAGAATTGGAAAGTCACATAAGCATCATGTCAAATATCAAGTGACCTACCATGAAGACCTTCATACAAATAAAAATTATATGTGGGTGAATTTGATTTTTGTCTTCCCCAAGTAAGTATAAATACCCAATTAAGAGTAATTTACAATTTATGGTGTTACAGAAAGGGGTATAAAATAAGAGAGGAAAGGAATCACTTACAAACATAAAATCAACAACAAACAGAGGACAACATGCAGGCTCACCTGTTCCCAGAGATTTTCCGTTACTTTCTGAAGCCATTTGTTTTTCCTCGGAAGCTTTGAGCAGCTGATTGTACTTTGATTTCTCTGTTTCAAGTTGAGATCGCAGATTCCCACTCTCAGTCTCTAGCTGCCTTACTTTTTCTGTGAGTGATACTACTTTCCCTAGTACAGTGCTACCAGTCTCATCATCTGAAATTATATCTTAATCAAATCAAAAGTGTCAATGGGTACTAAATTTTAAACTGATGTACCTCTACAAAAGAAATATAGTGCAAGCAAGAGCAAAAGAGAGAGAGAGAGAGAGAGAGAGAGAGAGAGAGAGAGAGAGAGAGAGAGAGAGAGAGAGAGAGAGAGAGAGAGAGAGAGAGAGAAATTGCTCATATCAAACACATCAAGCAAGTCAACTCACCTTCAGAGTTATTTTCTTCTGAAACATTTCCATTTGTGAGATGCACTTCCTTCTGAATCTCAGTAGTATCTTTGGTTTTGGTTTCCTTTAGGAGAGCACAAAGATCTGAATTCTCCTTCTCAAGTTCTTCAATACGGCTCTGTAATTTTCAAATGCATTTATCTTTACTGGGATCTTCATTCTTTATTTACTTTTTATTTTTATTTTGAATATTCACATGAGGGTATGGAGAGAGAG